ATATAGTTTGAAGGTTTCGCTACAATGCCGATATGGACATATCTCCAGCTTTGGCCACATGTGGTAAAAACTTTACAGAAAGACTACTTGTAATAGTTCCAATGTCCTCCTGTTTTGCTGAGATAGAATCGCATTTGTCCGGATGGTGAGATTACGACTATGGTGACTATATTTTGAGCTACCGACGTACAAACAAGGACAGTCAGGTGGATGTTCAAAGCTGAGTTACATAAGCGACAATTGCCTTTAACATAACACTTTGAACATTTCGCAAGCAACTCAGTTAAAATCACTTAGGATAAGGAGCGGGGAGAGAGGAAGCACGGTGACCCCATCTTTTTGTTGCAATTTTTTTTCAACCTTCTACGTGACGTAGCTATTAACTGTATTTACGTAGTCACGAGTGATGTTTTCATTTTTGGCACTCATAAGGTTGCATAAAAACAGTCTATGATTCCATTCCATGGATCAAGTACAACAGGCAAAAAGCCAAAGGGGACTTCCTGTTAGCGGTTAATTTAAGGTGGCTTGGCATTTTAAGGGGGAAGGGTGAATACCTCCCAAGTTTGAGCATAAACTACGCCGCCATTAACAAAGATTTGGAAAAATCACCACCCCAACTGTATTATGAAAATTTGTTATGATCAGCGTTACAGACATCGGAGTTGTCATAGCAACGAAATTACGCCACTCTCAGCACTGGGAACTCATACATACATACATAGCCTTTATTATTCTGTCTGGTTGTTTTAGCGCCATCGGCACTAATTGGGGACTAAATCGTTTACGGGAGCGATTTCCTGCAAATAGCTACCTCGAGTTTCGTGAAATATATCGAGATATTTTGGAATGAAGTTTTTATGGTCAGAAATGCAGTAAAACTGGTCCATCTTGATATTCGGCCGTTAGTCTGTAGAAAACGAAGCGCTTTCGAAATGCATTTTCACCTCATAGTAGTTCTAATTTTTGGTCGCAAATTTCGTAAGAGCCTCAGAATTTAAGGGTATTGTCTCCAAGTTTCATTTTCACGTGAACAGCAGTAACTAACCATGCATTTGAAATACGCAGAAATGTTGGCCATTGTTGTCCACGAAAACATGAAACTTGGAGACAATACCCCTGAATAACTCTCACTTGTAAACACGAAATTTCCGACAAAAAAATTAGTGAATTGTAGCCCTTATTTTACTGCCTTACAAGATATCAATAATTTTGGAACTCTAAGGTCCACTGTTAATCTCGATAATCTCAATTTTTTAAAAAAAATCTATCTAGCGGTTTCAAAATTATTCGCTTATTTGTTTAAGTAGACCAAAATGTTTACAAAACCGCTAACAAGAACGCCTAAAAACATTTTTATCAAATCCTTCTTTCTAGCAATCGGCTAAAGCTCTCGACATGATCTTTTTCACACACGTTTTTAAAAACATCTGGTTTACAGCAATTTTAAATTTTCCCGGTGAGCATCCCCGTCTTGATCAAATGGGAGTCCCCGCCCCCCCTCCGCCGGGGCATATCGTACTATAAAGAGGGAGACGAGTACGGTGAACTCCCTCTCATGTACACCTCTACATTGACCTGGAAACCTTCCTGCCATACTCAATTTGTTTCCGTTGAAACAGTAATGCTGTGGTGCCGGTCAAATAGCCAGTTCGTCTTTAATGGGGGAGTTTATAGCCTGCGATCACGCCATATGTCTGATCATCTTTTTATGTCTTTAGGGACGTTTCATTGAAATAAGCAATATTTCCGATCCTCAGGCTCTTTCAGTCCGAGCAGCATTGCTTTGGTTAGAGAGAAATTAATCTTTTTACCGTCTAATTCCTCGAATAATAAGAATAATTTCAGCGAGAAACACTACTCAGCACTGTAGGCCACACCCGTGAATGGGTCGATATGTCAACGTGGCTCGATACGCTGCCTGAACTACCTTTCACGACCTGACAAAGGAGACGTATTAATCGTCCTCAAACAACGTGATGACGGGGGGTGACAGCTCTAACAAGGGCTGTTTCGGGAGAAAAACAAATTTATTCCGGGAATCTGGAGATTTTGCCGGGAATCGGGAAACCTGGGAAATTTTTCGGGAAATATGAGATATTTTCGGGACATTGAACAAAGATTTGATATTACATGTTATCAAACAATATGTATACAGTGATATGCACCCTGTGCCGATACGCTGTATTCCTTGTATTTTGACAATTAAAAACGGCTTAATCAGCAACGTTTCCAATTAATATAGTGCGATTGACCACGTGCAATCCCCAGCGGATTGACACACGAACCGTACCGGTGCAAGGGTCGGTGCAAGGCACATACTATCAGTTCACACCAGATCCCATCATTCATTAGTTCAGGGGTATTTTTACGCTGCATGTTAACGAGTTTTAAGAGCACATTCCACTGATTGCATACTGGAAAACTTGGAAAAAGTACGTTAGAAGTACGTAAGAAAAAAACGAAACTCATTTAACCTTGTTAAACGCACATGAGGCCATAAAAAATAGTATGTCTGTGAAGACTCTTTAATCATCCTGATCCCGTCGGGGTCCTTCCGATTTTACTCAAAAATCCCGAATCCTGATCAATATGCGTTCGGAATAGGAAAATTCCAGATTTCGACAGTTCTGAAATTTTCAAATGAATTCTTATGATACTCATACAATGACACCACACAGACTATACTTAGCTGAAAGTGATTTCCAGAGCAATTTCAAAAACCGCACAACTTGTATAAAATAAAATCGACTACTTCTACGCGAAGTCACGCCAATAAAAATAAGCATAAAAAGGACAATTGATTTAGAGAACATTTTGGACAGAATTTGTCCTCTCAGAACACTAGAAACGGCGTTTCAGAGCACCAAGATTTCAAAATTTTCTGGGGGAGCATGCCCCCAGACCCCCCTAGTGGTTGGCCCCTTCAGCGCTC